GTGTGTGCGTCTTTGTGTGTGTGTGTGTGTCTGTGTGTGTGTGTCTTTTTTTGCGTGTCTCTGTGTGTGTGTGTGTCTCTGTCTGTGTGTGTCTCTCTTTGTTTGTGTCTCTCTCTCTCTCTCTGTGTGTTTCTGTGTTTGTGTCTCTGTGTCTCCTTTCTGTGTCCGTGTCTGTGTGTGTGTGTCTCTGTGTGTGCGTGTCTGATTCTTCAGGCTTTCTGTGTTTTTGGGTGTTTGTGGTAGGCCTGCTGGGTTCAGGGCCCTTTTCGTTCCCTTCCTTCGGATTGTCTGATGTGTGCAGAGGTGAGCGACGCATGCCGTTGCACCCTCGGGCCATTCCTCAGCCGGCAGCTCTGCAGTGTGGAAAATGTGCGCACTGGTTGAGATCGGCTGAGGCAACTGCTTAGGGGAGAGACTGTTTGTCAAGTGCGCTGGAAGAAAGGCAATTGTCATGGCTGTTTGAAAGCCCTGGGAGACATCCAACAAGTTGGTTTTAGTAAACCTGTTTGTTGATTCTGTTGCTGCAAGACTCCAAATCCTGGCCGGGCATTCGAGAAAGTCACTCTGTGCCATGACGGACTCCGAATACTCCTTCTCCCTGACCACCTTCGCGCCGTCGGGAAAGCTCCTGCAGATCGAGTATGCGCTCAACCGTGTGGCGGAAGGACGCCCGGCCCTAGGCCAGCGGTTGGCAAACTGTGCCATGCCCTAGCATTCACACCTCTTGAATGCGTCTTAAAGCTATTGGCGGGCACGTTCCAAAGATGAACAGTGCTTAAGTTTGAATGGATAGACGTGGTAGACCTTGCAGGCATCAAGGCCAAGAATGGCGTGGTACTCGCCACGGAGAAGAAGGTGACCAGCCCTCTGGTGGATGAAAAGACCTTGTCGAAGGTGGAGAATTTGTCCGACAGTGTGGGCATGGTCTACGCAGGCATGCCGGCAGACTACCGGGTCCTTCTGCGTAGAGGTGGGAGTCAAGCCGCTAAAGTTTCTGTTGAAGAGCGCCCTGAAACCGGCCCTAGCTGTTTTGTTGAATGCCTTTTGCCAAGCCGCCAAGCCTTGACTTATCTCGAGGTCGGAAGGTGGCGCAGCAATACTTCACAACCTACCGTGAGCTGATTCCAGTTTCGCAGATTGTGCGCGAGGAGGCTGCGATCATGCAAGAATTCACACAATCTGGAGGTGTGCGGCCCTTTGGCGTGTCCTTGATGATGGCCGGCTTTGATGACAGCGGCCCTCAGCTCTTCCAGGTTGATCCGTCAGGCACATACTTCGGATGGAAGGCATCAGCGATCGGCAAGAATCATGTGAGCCTTGCCTGCAGAGTTGCGCTGCTCTTCATTGTCAGAATCGTAGTGTTGTTTTGTTATCTAAATTGAAGGAAACAAAACCCACTTAGGAACGCCAAGTCCTTTCTGGAGAAGCGGTACAGCGAGGACATCGAATTGGAAGATGCCATCCACACCGCCATCCTCACCTTGAAGGAAGGCTTTGAGGAGGCCATCACAGCTGATAACATCGAGATCGGCATCGTGGGCACCGACAGGAAGTTCCGTGTGCTGACGCCTGCTGAGGTTCAAGATTACCTCGGAGAGGTGGAGTAAGTGGTGCAGTCTAGTTTCGGACAGGATTTAGACCTGACATCTCGGACATATTGAGGCGTCACTGCTCTCCATCTTGCAAAGCGTGAGCATGTGTCATGGACCTCCTGGAAAAGGCAATGGCGGCGCAGACATGTTTTTTCTTGCAGTAACTGGCAGCAAGCTCGCATCGTACAATTGTCGTTTGGCACACATTCTCGGGACCTGGTGTTGGAGGCCCAAGCTTGCGAGGGCTCGCTCAGCCTTGAGCCAAAGTCATAAATTCAACAGCGCAATGAGGCATGATAGGATGGATCCCAATGCAGAAGTTCTATGGCAATGAGAGGCGGATTGCGTGTTCACCGGTCCATGAACACATAGAGGTGATGTTTCAGCGAGCTGCTTGACATAGTGACTGGCTGCGTTGTGTTTACGCCATGCGTGTACGCCAGGCGTACTTGCGTAGGACTGTTTAACGGATTATATTTCTTTGTAATCCTCTTGCTTCCGGGGCTTCTCGCAAAGAAGTCTGTTTTGCTAGGAGTGACTGCTGTTTATTATCTCCTACGTGCGCCGGCGTTGTCTTTCTGAGGCAGTCCTATGTCATTCCACGCTGCGTGGCACTGCTTTCAAGGCTCCTGTGCACCAGAGGAGGAGAAGCGCAAAGCAAACTGCTTCACTGTGTTGACGGAGAGCGCAAGTTCGCGTCCGCCAGGCTTGCTCTGGCCCACTATGTACCGCCGCGCGAAGCGTTGCGCGAGTTCGCATCAATCGCTGCCGGCCCAGTTGTGTGAGGTTGTCCTGATATTCTCTAAAAGTGTTTACTTATTATATGCAATTGCCAGATGCATTTCTGAGGTTACACTGGAGTGAAGGCAGTGAAGAAAAGCCCTCCTAAGACGGAATGGCAGGACTGCAAAAGGGCTAAGAAGGGCGCATACGTCAGCCTACCCTTTACTGTCAGCAAGCAGTGCAGCCACACAGGCAGCTGCCGAGAAACAGTTTTTGCAGATGCGCTCGCGGATTCCAAAAGATGAGCAACTTGGTTTGAACCGTTTCAGTCCACACGGCACGAGGGGGATCCACCTGATTCTAGTTGTAAACCATGCATACCGGAAAGACGGCTGACAGCAGATTGTTTCTTCGTGAATAAGGATTTGCGAGGGTCCTTTTCAAGCACGCCCGTGGTCGAGTCTTCCGGCATGATAAACAGCAAAAAGCGGAAGTTCGTTCGCTCCACGCAGTTGCGGTGTGCTACTTGAGGTTGACAGCCCCAGAGAAAAAACTAGAGGACGATTGGCCCGAAAGCACTTTTCCCCAAGTGCTCTTCCAGCCCTGGAGACACCTTTTTACATCGATGCGGTGAGCGTGTCTGCACGTGGCGATGCTCAATGTGTATGGTCACATGAGAGCTCCATCTCATCGTCCTACGAGAGGAAACATGGCACTGCGCAAGCTGCATTGTTCCAGGCTGCTGCGCGCAAGTTGCTCTCTGCAAGCTGCTGCACGCAAGTGGCTCGACATCTGTCTTCAAGCTGTTCTGTGCACGTTGCTCTGTGCAAGTTTCTCTCCGCAAGACGCTCGGCGCTTGTATCTGTGCGCAAGATGCTCAGCCTGAGCTGAGCTGTGGAGGTGCTCCGCGCACTATACGTCTGCGCTTCACAGTTTTCCGGTCGGAGCCGCCAGGAGTACACTCCAATTACTACGGCTTCTTTGCTTGAGCCGGAGCTTCCGCGAGCCCGGGGGAATCGAACCCGCGACTGCGCGATTGCGAAAGCAGGCATGCCAACCACGAGACAACTTCCAAAGGCCATTTCGCGAGTAATAAGAGCGCTTCGACCGCACGATCTCCGCAGAGGGTTCATTCGCGCACCGCAAAAACGCAAAAAAGCTGGAGTTTTTGCACCTCGACCACGATGCCCGCAGAGGGTCGCGCGGCAGATCAGAAATCGCAGAAAACCTCGTGTTTTTGTACCTTGACCACGCTGATCCCCGCAGAGGGTTCATCCGCGCACCGCAAAAACGCAAAAACAAAAACGAGTTTTTGCACCTCGACCACACCGATCCTCGCAGAGGGTCGCGCGGGCAGATCAGAAATCGCAAAAAACAGAGGTTTTGCACCTCGACCACGCAAAGGGTTCATCCGCGCACCGCAAAAAAGGGAAAAGCAACTTGACTTTTTGCACCTCGACCGCGCCGATGCCCGCAGAGGATCACGCGGCAGATCAGACATGGCCAAAAACAACCTGGAGTTTTTGTACCTTGACCACGCCGATTCATCCGCGCGCCGCAAAAACGCAACAAAAACCACAAGTTTTTGCACCTCGACCACACCAATCCTCGCAGAGGGCCGCGCGGGCAGATCAGAAATCGCAAAAAATCTCGGAGTTTTTGCACCTCGACCACAAGAGGGTTCATCCGCGCACCCCAAAAACGCCACAAAAATCAACACCTTGAGTGTTTCTCGACCACACCGATCCCCGCAGAGGGTTGCGCTGGCACCGCAGGAATCGCAAAACGCCTCAAGTTTTTGCACCTCGACCACGCCGATCCCCGCAGAGGGTTCTTCCGCGCACCGCCAAAACGCAAAAAAAAAACGCGTTTTTGCACCTCGACCACGCCGATGCCCGTAGAGGGTTGCGCGGGCAGATCAGAAATCGTAAAAAGTATCTAGTTTTTGCGCCTCGACTTGGCTCTATGCACTTGGCTCTACACACTGACCTATACGCTTGGATCTTTGCACTTGGCTCTACGCACGGCTCTATGCACTTGCCTCAATGCACTTGCCTCAACGCACTTGCCTCAATGTATTTGACTCTGCGCAAGTGACTCTATGCAAGTTGGTCCGAGAGCTCCGCGCGGAAGAACCCTTCGCAGTGCTTTCGGGAAAAACACAAGCTCAAGCACGAAGCATAGATACCCATGTTCTCACTTGACAGACCGAGCATCAGTCAGAAGGGATATCTTTTTGTCTTAGACCGAATGTACGCTGCAGTGTACTTCGCGTAAGCTTTGAAGAAGCAAAGCAAGATCAAGTCAACGGACAAGGCAGTGGAAGGACATGCCTGACGTGTCAAGGAAATCGGAGCTAGCCTCAATTGCTGGTTCCGAGCAGTGGATAAATCATGAGCCACTTCTGGCAAAGCGTGTTTGGTGCCAATAATTATCGGCGCATGTTCGTTGGAAGGTGCCGTGCCATGGTTTCAGTTATTTCGCTTGTCCTTTCTGGTTCGGGGCTTGTTCATTGGACCTTATGTACTTTGTGAATTATCGTTCAGCCAAAACAGAACAGCCATGACCGGGCCATTGATTGTACAAGGTTAGGCCAGAAACTGATGCTGCACTCACGGTAACTCATGGAACTTCGCCGTGAGGCGCCGTCACGGTCTCCAGCCCTAGAGCCAATTGTTTGGACTTCCGAAGATGTTCAGTCGCGCGCGCTGCCTCAGTGGCATGTCAGTTTTTCAAGCAAGGCTCATGTGGGGCTTGACGCCTGACGACGCAGCCCGGATGCAAGATAATAGAACTTGCTTTGGTAGCCCCAAGCGATCTGCAATCCTTGTTCTTGTTGTTGGTGGTTTGCAGTTTTAACTTTGTCGCGAAACATAGCAGGTTCGAGGAGGGTTCCGGTGTTGCACTCTCCTGGCGCTGAACCCATCATTGTTCCTTTCCCCAAAACGAAAATTCCAGGGGATGAGCATTCTTTTTTCCAGACACTTTTGTAAGACCAAAACACGGCAACATTTCTTTCGGCTTCCTGTGGAACCAACCAAAGACGGCTTGCCAAAGAGGACACAGCTATTTGTTTATCAGGGAAAGATGGTCAGCAACCAGCTCCTATGTCTGGTAGGAGGGTTCATGTATTCGTATTCATTCCACCCTCGTGTTACCACCTACCAAAGCGAGAAAAGGTTCCTCCCATTTCAGCGAGGTGCAACATCTATCTCCAGATATGCGGAAGTGCCTCACGCTGCGCTGCGCCAGCTCAAGGGAAATCTCCGGCTGGAGACGCTCGCTCTCGTTCTTGGCCCCCGACCCCTCCCCTTGCATAAAGAGGTTCAAAAGGGGGATGCTTTTCGCTGAGATCCTTTTGCAACTTGGAAGTCTAAAAAGGAGAGCCAAAAGTCAACAGTGTCTAAAATCAGTGCGCAAAGAAGCCTTTTGATTTTGCATGCTTTGGGTAGAGTCTTATAACACCTGGACATGTGCCCAGGCTGCAAGTTGGGATCTTACAGAAAACAATCAGTGGGGTGGAGCGAACAGGGGGCAAGCCGGTAATCCCTTCCCTCTGTAAACAAATTGCACCTTATTAATAAATAGTGTTTTCCTAGTCCTTTACGGCCGGACCCTATGGCTTGCCCGAGAGCGTCCGCGCCCCCGACCCATCCCCACCTGTGTTTTTCCAGCTCTGTGGATGATTTGAAAGTCATCATACATCCACTGGCCCTAACCAAAAACCTGAGCACTAAACAGTTGGCTCGGGGGCGGTCTTAAATTCCAGACACTCAAACAGTTGGCTGGGGATGGTCTTAACCCTAAACTAGTATCCAAACCCTAAACAGTTGGCTTGGGGGCGGTCTTAACAACCCTAAACAGTTGGCAACTAAAATCCAAACCCTAAACAGTTGGCTTGGGGGCTGTCTCAATCCTAATTTAAAACCAAACCCCTACACAGTTGGCTTGGGGCGGTCTTAACCCTAGACTAAAATCCAAGGCCTCAACAGTTGGCTTGGGGGCGGTCTTAACCCTAAACCAAAATCCAAACCCTAAACAGTTGGCTTGGGGGCGGTCTTAAGCCCAAACTTGAATCCAAACACTCAACAGTTGGCTTGGGGGCGGACCTAGCCCTAGACTAAAATCCAAACCTCAACAGTTGGCTCGGGAGCGGTCTTCACCCTTAGCTAAACTCCAAACACTCGAACAGTTGGCTTGGGGGGCGGCCTAACCCTATATTATTATGCAAACCCTACACAGTTGGCTTCAGGTCGGTCTTAACAACCCTAAACAGTTGGCTTGGGGGCGGTCTTCACCCTAAACTAAAATGCAAACTCTAAACAGGTGGCTCGGGGGCGGTCTTAATTAAGCCCAAACTAAATCCAAACACTCAACAGATGGCTTGCGGGCGGTCTTAACCCTAGACTAAAATCCAAGGCCTCAACAGTTGGCTTGGGGGCGGTCTTAACCCTAAACTAAAATCCAAGCCCTAAACAGTTGGCTTGGGGGCGGTCTTAACCCTAAACTAAAATCCAAGCCCTAAACAGTTGGCTTGGGGGCAGACGTAGCCCTAGACTAAAATCCAAACCTCAACAGTTGGCTTGGGGGCGGGCTTAACCTTAAACTAAACCTCCAAACCCTAAACAGTTGGCTTGGGAGCGGTCTTAACTCTAAACTGAAATCCAAAGCCTAAACACTTGGCTTGGGGGGCGGTCCTAACTCTAAACCAAAATCCACACCCTACACAGTTGGCTTCAGGGCGGTCTTAACTAACCCTCAAATCCAACCTCTAAACAGTTGGCTTGGGGGCGGTCTTAACCCTAAAATCCAAACCCTGCACAATTGGCTTGGCGGCGGTCGTAAACTTAAACTAAAATCCAAACCCTAAACAGTTGGCTTGGGAGCTTTCTCAACCTTAAACCAAAATCCCAACCCTAAACAGTTGGCTCGGGGGCGGTCTTAACCTTACACCAAAACCCAAACCCTAAACAGTTGGCTTGGGGGCGGTCTTAACCCCAAACTAAAATCCAAACCCCAAACAGTTGGATTGGCGGCGGTCTTAAAGCCTAAACCAAAATCCAAACCGTAAACAGTTGGCTTGACTCAAGACTAAAACCCAAACCCTCAACAGTTGGCTTGGGGGGCGGTCTTAACCTTAACCCAAAACCAAATCCCTAAACAGTTGGCTTGGAGGCGGTCTTTTTCCTTCACCAAAACGCGGTCTTAACCCTGAACCAAAACCTAAACCCCAAACGGTTGGCTCGGGGGCGGTCTTAACCCTAAACTAAATCCAACCCCTAAACAGTTGGCTTGGGGGCGGTCTAAACCTTAAACCAAAGGCCTAAAGTCTTGGCCCTAAACCAAAATGCGGTTTTAACCCTAAACCAAAACCTAAACCCTAAACAGTTGGGGGCGGTCTTAATCCTAAACTAAAGCCCAAACCCTAAACGGTTGGCTTGGGGGCGGTCTCAACCCTCAACTAAATCCAAACCCTAAACAGTTGGCTTGGGGGCGGTCTAAACCTTAAACCAAAGGCCTACAGTCTTGGCCCTAAACCAAAATGCGGTTTTAACCCTAAACCAAAACCTAAACCCTAAACAGTTGGGGGCGGTGTTAATCCTAAACTAAAGCCCAAACCCTAAACGGTTGGCTTGGGGGCGGCCTCAACCCTCAACTAAATCCAAACCCTAAACAGTTGGCTTGGGGGGGGGTCTCAACCGTAAACAACACACACCCAAACAGCTGGCTTGGAAGTGGTCTCAACCCCAAACCAACACCGAAACCTTGAGGGCGGTCTTAACCCTAAACCAAAACGCAAGCCCTTAACACTAAACCTTAAACAGTTGGCTTGCGGGAGGGTGGGATCCTGACCCGGAAACAAAACCTAAACCCTAAGCAGTTGGCTTGAGCCAGCAAGGCTCATATATTTCCGGTCGAACCGCAGGTGTATTTCTTCGATTGTAATTCTCAGGCTAAGTGACTGGAGCCTTCCCTGCCCCGCTACCACAATTGTGGACGGCTGGCAGGGCAAGGAGCCCTGATGATACACATTGGTGCCTTGAATCTTAGCAAGCTGCTTGGAGTTTGAGGAATGTTGGATAAGCGTGTGGCCGGAGGCGTGGTTCATGTCTCAAATTTGCCATTCTCCTAGGAAAGCAGCAGCTGATCCGACCCTTGTTTGCATGTGTGTGTGGGCCAGGGACCGCAGGGCACCTTGAATATTCCTCATGATTGCTCGAGCAGGTTGTTTTCCCCATTCTTCCGTTTTGTTTATTTGAGCAACCATCTGATAGGATATTTGAACCGGAAGTGCCGCTTCAGCAAACACTGGCAAGAACTCATGACGCATGGATAACCTCAACATTTTGCTGCTTTCACTGAAGCCCCAACAAGCACTCGGGGGAGATCGCTCAAAAGGCGTGCAGATTTTGTTATGACCTTTCCTGGCCTCTATCAGGTTCCATTGCCACTCTTTGGGGCCCGACGCCTTGTTCTGTTTGCAGGGAAGTTCCAGCGACGGCCCTTTGATACCAACAGCCCCGCGGTGCGCATCGCTACGCTCACCGAGAAGATCCTGCGAGCCTCGGGCCGCACAAAGCATCAAATTCGTTCCAAGCCTGGGCTCAAACTGATTTCACGCGGGTGGCTTGATGTAGGGAGGGCAGCGGCCAATGACGAGAGCAAACATGCTGCTGATCAGACGCCACGCCATCAACAAGTACCGCAAAGACAACTTTCGGCATTGAGTCTTTGCATCCTGTCAGAAGCGAACGTCCTGCCCGAGTTCACAAGGTTCGGACAGGCTACGAATTCGCCCAAACCTGTGAGCGGGCTTTTTCAGCAACCAAAGTGTTTCGAGGCTAGTTGAAATCTACAGTGAAAACGTTGCAAACATTGTGCAGAGAGGAGATTGGGGCAAAAATAACCACCAATTGGGACGGGGAGCGCGCAGGTGCGCGCAAATATGTCATAAGCCACGAAGCACAGAAAATCAACGCAACAGAGAGCAACTGGGAAGCTTCTTTGAACCAATACCAAGACACGGCTGGCTCAATCACGGCGTTCTAAGGTTTGACAACTCCACCAGCCGCAAGCCACGCCAATCATGGAGCAGCCTCCTAAATGGGTGGGTTCCTCTCAAGGCTTTTGATTGCGTTGACGAAGTGACCCAGAGCCTGTTGGCGCACTTACAGATCCTGAGGGCAATTCCCTGAGCGCGTCCACTGGCAATCTCGAAGTTCAGAGACTCATCCGAGTAGAGCAGAGCAGCCTGAAATATGAACGGCAAACCAAGAACCCAGAATGATGCAGCTGGCGCGTGATCATTCTTTGTGCATGGCGTGGATCCATTTGCGGGCACCCCGCTGCTTAGTCCCCGCGGAGTAGGAGCCTGCAAGTGTCAAGACGCGCAGGACCTGCTCGGCCATAGCCGCTGAGCCTTTACTCATTGTTGCATTCAGTCTCCCCAGCAGGGCTCAGCATGGGAGAGGAGCAAATTGCCTTGACCTCCTCTTAGAAATTCCTGGTAACATCCAGAGGGAATTCTACAGTGCCTTGATTCGTTATTAAATTTGAGGGTAAATCATGGCCATCACGCCCAGATGAATATGCCTAAACTTGCCAGCCCTTAATGGCTCCAAGCACGCAGTTCTGAGACCTACCGGCCTAGTCACTTCTAAATTTGGGCTCTCCTGTTTTCGTTTCGCAACCCTCGGCGAAAATGGGCCCAACTGGTACGCAGTCATCTTGGAAGCTGGCAAGTTTGTTTCATAAGGTACTGCGTCAGTGGTTTTTCGTGCGCCCGGGTTCTCTAGCTAGGTGCTTGTTGGCAACTAAGGACTCCGAGCGCACTTGTTGAGCCCCTCGGCCGAAGTCCGCGCTCTGAATGCGCTCCTGGCTTCAAAAGGCCATGCCTGGACAGTGTGCGGCAAAACTGGGACGCACTTGTGTTTGAGCGAGTTACAAGGCACCCAACATGAAACCAACCGCCTGGGTGGCTTCCGAGTTTCAATACGAGTTCAGGCAAATCTGCATTTGGAGACAACTTCACTTCCTCAAAAGGAGGTCAACGTCATGTGGAGTTTCGTGGCTCGTGTGGAAAATTCACAGCATCTGATGGCGCCAAACCGCACGCAAGGAACGGATCTTGGCGGCATGCACGCAGAGGCTAAGCGTGCCCTGAGGACCTTCGAGGGTCGGCTCCCAGTTTAGTCACGCTGCTTGCTTTTGCGCTAGGATGTACTTGACGCGCCGAACACAAACAATGAAGACATTATACAAGTGTCGGCCTCAGCTAGTATCCAGTAGATCCAATGGGGGGCAGCGTGCAGTCTCAAGGATCAACAAGTCTATTTTTCACAAGTCATGATGTTGACCCCTCTTTTTATGGGCGTGGCAGGGTCATGGGTCATGAAGGCAGCGCGCGCGTAAATCAAACATGACCCTTGGAATTGGTTGAACTTCTCCGGTCGAGCATACTGTGCAGAAACAGTTCTCGTGGTGCTAGCACATGGCGGTAACATGGAACAAAGGGACGTCCCACCTCCACACAGGCGGGTTCTGAAATGGGGAATCCATTGAAGATTTTATTGAGTTCACATCTGTTTAGCATGCAGTTGCCCAGGTCGGATTACACCCTGTATCGCTATACCTGCATGGAGCTGGGCATCAGATGCGTGCGCTTCGCGCAGCTTTCCAAGCACAGCTGAATCGTGCGTTAAGTTCACGTATTGTGTTATCAACAACCATGCGTGCCGAATGGCCGCTTGGCTCAAGTTTTGGGATCTCCCGTCAATTTCTTTTCGGGTTTCACGCGCGGGCGCCATACCCTGACATTGGTCCTCATCATCGCAAACAGGTTGCGGTGCTGCGGATCTCTGGGGGAGGTCCCGGAACCGTCGTGGGGGTCTTGGGCCTGGTCTTCAAAGCTACTCTTTTTGTAACCCTTTTCCATTTAACCCTCAAACAACTTACTTTCCTACACATGTGACTCCCTCAACCTGTTCATCGGCCCCTTCTCCATTGTGTGTTGGCACTGGGTTCTTTTGGTACTTCGTGAAACACGTGTACCTCTGGGCTACTTCATCTTCGCCCAAAACCGCAGGTTATCAGCCGTAAACAGCTAGAAGCTGTGGCTGGTGACCCGCTTGCGGGTCGCGACCCGCTACCTGCTCTTCATCGCCTTCAAGCAGGAACAGCTGGCCACTTCCTCGGTGACGGGTGCAGCCCAATTCCGGGGTTGTGACGGACGACTGGATCCTCTCTCAGGTCGTTTTTGATGAGGAAGCGGAGGCCTCTATCCCGGCGGCGGTGCTTCAGATCAAGGACAGACCCCCTCAAACAGAGGCTGTGGTCCTGGAGGACGAGGTTGCTCGTCCGGCAGTACATCCAGAAGCCGCTCAATCTTGGTCCCTCACATGGGGTCAGTTTGACCAGTTTCTTGGAGGTGGGGCACAGGCCACTCCGACCGATTTCGATCGAATCGCCATCGACGCAGGCGCCCTCTTTTCGGGGAACTTGGGTATTCAATCCCTTTTTGATGCTAATTGGGGATCCCAACCTTCGCGCCGTCTACCCTGATGAGATTGAGGGTGACCCCAGTCAGGAACTTTCCCCATCTCATGTTGCAGGCCCGGGCCAACTCAAATCGGGCAATCGGGCTATTGGACTGTCAGCCATCATGGATGTTGATCATCCGAGTCCGGCTGATTTGGACTTCATCCCGGACGCAGTATCATCTTTCCTAGGTACCCGTGAACAGGATGCGAGCCGCTACAAATCCACTGCTTTCCGCGTTCAAGTACCCGAGAAGCGAGCCACTACAACGCTGGCTCAATTCCAACCCAGGTACTCAAGGACAGGATGCGAGCCGCAACAACGCTGGCTCAAATCCATTGATCTCAGCCTCAGGTGCCGAGAACGGGATGCGAGCCGTCACAATCGCTCAAATCCACAAAACCCAACTCAGGTACTCATGAACGGGACGCGGGCCGCTACAACGCTGGCTCAAATCCGCATAACCCAACCTCAGGTACTCATGGACAGTGCGACAGCAGGCCCAAATCTTCCGCGTCATCGAGAACTCACGCTAGTCTCTTCGCCGCGTTCGCTGGGCGTCGGACTGAGAAAGAGTCCGCCCCAGTCGTGATCGACCTTGAGGAGCACTCCCATCACCGTACCAGTGATGGAACCGAACAGGATTCACCTGGGAATGGCTCCTTTCAACCTTCTCGACATCCCGTTCTACCAGCCACCTGGAAGAGGCAATGAGGATGATGAGGCCATTCCCGGACTTCTTGATGCAAGTGTGATGAAGCTGAGACTACACCGGAGTGACGTACAACTTTGCTCCCACTGAGCCGTGTCGCCAAGATCTTGTCGCCGAAGCCCTATGTTTATGATGTCGCTCAGCGACTTGATCTCAAGCAAGCTGATCATGGCCAAGTCCAACAGCGTGGATCATCATGTCATGACATCCCGCCAGGACGTGCTGGCGCTGACTCTCGGGCTACTAGGAGCTCCGCCGCGTGATGTCCCCATTCAATCCGCTGGATCCGGGCTCAGCTCCAACGCTCCAATGTCCGAAAAGGACACCGATGACGGCATCATCATGACTCCCAGGAATCGCCGGCAGCGATCAGCTGAGCGCGGCCCCGCACCTGCTACCTCTTCTGATACTCCTCATCCAGGCGCCTCTGAACTCCAAAGGCTACTTCTCACGATCCGCAACAAGATCCGAGGGTGCAAGGCTGAGATTCAGGGCAGGACCGAGATCCGGTCGCGCAGAGAACAGGTGAACCCCTGCGTCGGCGAGATCAAGAGGATGAACGACCGCATCAACAACTTTGAGAAGAAAGTTGAGGCATCCTTCTGCACCGTAGCCGGAACTCTCTCGAAGCACAAGGCCAACGTGATATCAACGAGTGGATTGAGCGGAGCCAGAAGACGATCAATGATTGCTTCAAGGTCTATGAAGAGATCAAATTCCGTCATCATCTCGGCTGCAGAGCTCCGCGAGCAAGCTTCAGCTCCTCAGGTTTTCTGAGATTTGGTCACTTGAAGCTGAGATTCGACTTCTCTTCCCCAAGATCCACGTTCTGGCGAGTCTCCGTCACGCACAACCGGCACGACTGATTTTTTCAAGACCACCTCCTCCTTCTGGCCACCCCATCGTCTAGAACGAGGCCCGCTGGATCTGCACCCAATAAAGGTGCGCTCATGAGGAACCTCCATGTCGAAAGCGTGGCAAACCCGTGCGCGAGGACTGTTTTGATCACGACTGCAACGCATTATTTAAGTGATCAGTTTCCCCGGTGCCGCACGTGTCGGGGAAAAGGAGGGTGAAACGGTCTACAGAATTGCACTGTCTGCAGCAAAGATGAATATTGCGATCAGCACATCGCATCATCCAGCGACGCACGCCTTGGATGCTTGAGCTAACCATGAAGGTAAGCCCAAGCGCCGTGGCCCCAGCGTAGAGCCCGAACGTGGCTCCGCTTGTGACAAATTGTCGACCGTCGCACAAAACTCCTGAGCCGCAGCAAGGAAACCCATGCTCTCGCAGCAACGCCGGGCTCCTGGGCCCATCCCGCCTGGGGCAACGTCATCGCCTGTCATCGGACGGACTGGGGCACTGTCGGTCAATACCCTGGCTCACCCTAAAGGGGGTATTATCACTGGGCATGTCGAGCATGGGACGACGCAAGGAGTTACTCGTGGAAGGTACGGATCAGGAGGCGCTGCGAACAGCAACATCTTTCACATCTTCCCCGTAGTGTCTCACACGCTATTGCTGGACAGGCTGGGGTTCCTTTTCCTCCTGGCCATCACAAATGCGCAGGACGGCGATGTTGATGACGGCATAGGACGACCCGACATCCGGCGATCGTCTGCCGAGGAAAGGGTTTGCTCTCGTTGTAACACAAACGTCAAATCCAACATTGCCGGTATGCCTCCCAACTTCCACACGTGCTCTATGTGCCGCACTTCATTGTGCTCTGCATGCTGTCCCCCATTGTCAGGGAACTGTTCCCTCTGTGCCATAGTTATTGGCAGGGATGGCGTTCTTCCTCCCCACGTCTTTGGGCAGGCGACAACGGCCGCCTGTAACCTCATTATCATCCGAGGCAAAGAAGCGTGCCACCATCGAGCTCCCAAAGGAGCCTGCTCCTCACGAGCTACGTGATTGGATCATCACCACACGAGAGATCGTCAGCAACGCTTTTAGCTACGACTTTCAGTATGCCATGTCATGGGTCGTGAGCGTAGAAACCGAGCTTGATGATGACTGATTGACTATCTCCGTCCTGATGAAGTTGGGAGTCAGGAGATCCGCACGAACGAACTCCTTCGGCTCACCCTTCTGGCGAGCCTCAGCTTGAGGAATATTTTGGAAAATGGGAAGGACTTCTTGGGGGTATCACTGCACCGATCGATCGTAGTGTGCTTCAACATGTCTTCTACGAACAGGTTCGTCGCTCTCCATGCTTGTTGCCCGATGCGCAACACTGGGATCGCAATCCGGACGTACAGAACAACGACTGGATGATGAAGGCTGCGGGCAACGCTGTGTCAAGGTGGAGCACTCGCTACAATGTCTCCGAGATACAGGAGCAGATGCACTCTCGATCTCCTCACGCTGAGCGCACCGCGCACGCCGCCTCTCCTCTTACTGGCGTTTAAACGGGAAAATGGTAGTACGAGGTTTTAGCAAAGTGTCACTCTCAATCTCTTCCTCTCTCTTTCTTCTTATTTGTGGCTATCTTTTTCTTTCTCGTGTTGTTTCTTGTTGTTTTCTCTCTCTGAGCCTGTCCCTCTCTGTCACTCCCGTACATTACAGGAAGAAGTGCAAACGCACAAAGAGAAATGCACATATACATAAAGTATAATCGGTATACATGTGTGACTTCGATATAATTACATAGAAATATCTGTAAGCATAAAGATATGCACACAGGTATGCTCTAGTGGGTTCTTTGGAGCAAACTCCATCACAGCCCCCCCCCCCCAAAAAAAAAAATCACCTTGCTTCATCAAGCTTGATGATTGCTGCCACGCATGAGTGCCGTTGCTTGTGTGATTGTCCGAACACGCAAGCATGATGCTTAAGCAATGAGGGCTAACCAGCTTAGAAACATGCAAGCATTATATTTCAAAATTCATGGCAGGTGGCCATGCATTCCTGTCAGGACCTGCTGACCAACAGCAGAAACGAAGATGCGAACTTGAAGGGCGACTTTTGTTACCGTGCCATGCCGAGAATTGCTAATTAGCAGCCCGAAACGAGGAACAACACGCACGCACTCAGGGTTAAAACGTTTGTGGTCTACAGCATTTCCCTTAAGATTTTCTGAAAAGCAGTCAGCTGAACAACGAGCCTTTTTTCATGTTTTGTTACGTGTCATGGACCAGCAAGTCACTTATTGTCACAACAAGTTCCCGGCGAATCCAGCCCTCTCTGTCAGAAGGGCAGTCGAGAACGAGACCAAGGCAAGGAAAACTAAGAATTAGACCACTGAACAAGTGGCTAGCCCTGCACAAGGGCACTTGTTTATGGGCGGGGTGGCAGCTCACTCCAGGAATCGGGCTTGGACAAAATGCCAGGGCTGCTGAACAGCAACCCTGGCACATAAGGCTCCCAAGTTTTTTATATTGATTGATGATTTTTGTATTTATTCACTTATTTAT